CAGGGTTTCACCGGTTCGGATCCCGGGGGCCGACATGGCACCACTCATCAGGCCATGCTGAGGCAGCGTCCCACACACCAGAACCAGAAGGACCCACGACTAAAAACACACAACTATGTACTGGGGAGCTTTGGGGAGAAAAAGGAAAAAATGAAATCTTTAAAAAGTGCTCTACTCTCTCTCTTGAACCATAGAGGCTCTCTATTTCTTTCTCTTTTGCTGGAACTCTTCTGTTTTTCACTTGACGTCTCATGACTGCTTTCATGGGAAAGTGTGATCCTCGGAGGGAAAAGGTACTGAGAGGGAATTCTGTTGGTGCACATCAAAGAGGAAGACCTTTACAGATTTTAACCTAGGAAGGTTTCTCAAACTTTCTTCCTTGCCCTAAATACTCAAGACATATTTGACCTTGAAACTCCAAGACATCGGAAGGGGTTCCAGGTAGTAGACATCGCTAGCCTTCAGGGAACAGCTTGTCTAAAAGGCCCCAGGGAGGGGCAGAGCTGTGGCCCAAGGTTCACAAGGCTCAGGATTTTCCAACTCTACATTTCTAGATGGCTGAGTCATGCACATACTTTCCATGTGGGTTGGTAATGGTTGGTAATTGCGTCTTTTATTTACAAGGCTCTCCCTGGACCCTAGCCTGGCCAGAGATACAAAATTTCTCCCCCTCCAGTCCCTGTGGGCCAAGTGGGCATCTAATCTAGGTTAGCTGCTAGGGGCTCGGACTTATCTGAGTGTCCGATGACCTGTGGGTACCACCAGACAGGTATTTGCATGAGGTGATGTGCTTGTAGGGAGACAGCTTATAACTAGGAAGACAATATTCCTGTGGAACCAGCTTGATAGCTCCACGGATTGGGCCCAGCCCCCAGGAACGTGTTTCTCAGGCCCATAAAGATAAGGGCTACAAAAAGAGAAACAAACTCATACACACAGAGAACAGATTGGTGGCTACCGGAGGGGAAGGAGGTTGTGGCGAGTGGTGAAATGGGTGAAGGACGTCGATAGTATGCTGATGGGTGGTAATTAGACTTTTGGTGGCAATCACTTTGTGCTGTATACAGATGTTGAATTACAATATTCTACACCTGAAACTTATATAATGTTACATGCCAATTTTACCTCAATTAAAATAAAAAAGGGCTACAGCAATGAGGCATTTCTTCAAGTGTGGATTCTGAACTATCTGGGCAATGTTATTGATGACGTAGATGCCCAGTTTCCAGTTAGACCCTCTGAATCAGAATCACTGGTGGAACGGCCTAGGAATCTGCACCCAGGTGATTCTGACATCTACTAAAACCTTGCTGCTTGAAGTGCAGTACAAGGCCAGCCTCACCTGGGAGCTTGTAAGAAATGCAGATTCTCAGGCCCCCCCGCAGATCTCCTGAATCAGAGTCCGCATTTTAACAAGATCTCCCAGACCATTCTTAATGCATGTTAAATCTGAGAAGCACTGGCCTAAGATTTGAGGACCATTGAGCTGAAAAGATTCTTTTCCCGACAGATTCTGTGAGATGGGAGTGGGGAGGCCAGGCACAAAGAGTATTCCTTTGATGGCCAGGTGACGTGGCGTGGCACACAGAGGCCCTCTTCCAGGGAACCCAGAGTGATTCTGGCGCAGCGAGGGCTCTAGGGAAGGTGGTATCAGTCTGCCATCTCCAGAGCTGGTGTCTTAAATGCTCCTGGAGACAGTACAGACATGGGGAGATATCTTCAAATGGCCTACCAGCTGGCAGACACCCCGGGGCGGGGCTGGGGGAGGGAGGCTGGGACAGAGGAGGAAAGAATTGCAAGCGTCCTGTGTTACCCATAGCTGAAGACTCCTTCAGGAATGCATGCAGGACAGCCCTGCTGATTCCCGGAAGGGGCGGGGTGAGACTTTGGGGCTTTGAGGAGGGCCGACAGTCTGTGGAATCAGTGCAGGCAAGGCTTGCTGAATACATACTCAGAGGCTGGTAAGGCTGAAAGAAAGCAGGTTACATTATAGTTTCTTGTGCCAAATAAATGTAATTAGAGGAAATGTTTATGTGTCCCAGTGGCTCTCAACCAGATACAAGTTTTAGACCCTCCATGGGCATTTGGCAATGTCTGGAGACACTGGCCTCTGAAGGTTAGAGGCCAAGATATAGTGCCAAACATCTACAATGCATAGGGCAGTGCTATAACAAAGGACTTTCCGGGCCAAAATGTCAGTATGCCCAGATTGAGAAACTCTGAATCGTATCCCAAAGATGGATTTACCAAAAAACCAGTATTCTCTATTAACTTTACAACCACCACCGGTGATGTTTAACGATTCACTATAGAGGGTTAAGCTAGCAAAGTGGGAACCCTTTTGGGTGGCAATTGGGTTGACTACCACATCATTTCAAATTGACTGACTGTTTTTTCTAGTACCTCTGCAGATATCGAAGTTAAACTGATCAGTCTCGAATAGCCAGAGGAGACTTGTGGCCTTTTAAAAATAGTGAGCACTGTGTATGTGCCGTTTCCTCATTTCTCAGGTATTTCTCTTCAGTACTATCAGTTCTGAAAAATAATGACAAGTGACTCAGCAGCAGCGCCACCAGTTCTTTCCGAGCGTTGAGAACTGTGTTATCAGGGGCCGCCACTTGGTGTATTCCCACTTTATCACGCATTCTGCTTCTAGGCTGGAGAAGGCGAGGACATGATTATCCATCATATACTTGCACTCACAACCTGCTCTTCATATCTGATCAGTTCCAAGCTTAAAAAACAAATTACACATATATAAAAATTACATTTTTGGAATAACCAGATATTAGGTTTTTTCCTGTCACCAGTGGGCCACATCGAGAACTCACCGAATAAAGGAGAAATATGATTCTAGGAAGTCAAATCTCTACGCAGCGGAAAGAAGACACTTTCTAGGGAGGGTTTTTGACCATGTAAAAGTCAACCAAGAGACACAGGAAACTGAAAATCAAATTTGTTTTGTTTGTTTTACAGAAAGAGGAATATAAAGTTTAAGAAGGAGCATGCTACAGGTAAAGAGCACCAGATTTTAGATCAGACCGACTTTCGTGTGAACCCTGGCTCAGCAGCATGTGAGCTGTGTGAATAGGGGATTGTTTCTTACTGTTTCCATTTTTCTTAAAAAGGGATAATACTCTTTACCTCATAGGGTTGTGTACTGGTTAGCTATTGCTGTGTAATAAAAGCCACAAAACCTCAGGGCATTAATGTAATAAATCTTTATTTAGGTCACGCATCTGTGGCGTGCTGGGGTCAGCTGGGAGTCAGCTAATCTAGGTTGGAGCAATTTGTTCTCTGAAAGCCTTGTCCTCCTCCTGGGACCAGAGGGCTGCCTGCGAATGTTTTCCCCTGTATTTCAAGTCTCTGCTTGTATCACGTCTACTAACACCCTATTGGCCAAAGCTTGTCACATGGCTGAGTCCAAAGCCAAGGGGAGGGTCAGTACACCCTGCCCAATGTGAAGCCCAAGCAAGTCATGTAGGCAAGCCCACTGTCACTGGAGCAGGAAGGACGCACTCACGGAAGTGAGGGGGAGGGAGTGAATATTTCTGAACAATAATCTACCACAGGCTGTTAAAATGATTAAATGAATTTTTGTCTCCAAAGCACCTTGCATAATGTCTGGCACCAAGGTGTTTAATAAATGTTAGTTCCTCTTTCTTCCTCCAAACTCTGATCTTACAATGAAGAATGGGAAACAGAAACTTGATTTCGGAGATACAATAGCTGTTTTAAAATAATCTTGACTTCTGTATTATGATCAGTTGCGAGAGGAATAAAAGGAAAGAGAAGAGATATTGAGGAAAATAATAAAACAGTCAGAAGAAGAATGGGGAGGGAAAGAAACAATGCTTCCTTAATTTTGAGGTAAGGCACAGGACAAAAAAGTAATACATCTATAAATGAAAAAAATAGATAAATAGAAATACAGCCACAGAACAGAGAAACAATAAGAAGAAGGAGGAGGAGAAAATAACAGAATCACCACGATCCGGGAGATTTTCAAAATACGTACACCTTTCTTCCCTCCCCTCGCTCAAATTCTGAACCATACATTTTTCACATGGCATAGGCCAGGAAAGGGAACGGTGTGTTCATAGTTTTATCACCTCTTGCCAAGGTTTTATAAAAGATTAATTAGTGTTTTAACCACTGTTTACAAGCTCATTGAGTGCACTTTATCCTCGATACTTCAGAAGCTCTAATCTGAATGTGGCTCTTATTTCAACCTACCAAATGAGCAATCGTTTTCTGGGAATGTGGCATGAGGGAGAGAGAAATAATCACATAAGGATCAAATGAAATTGACTTGGGTTTTTCCACTGTGATGACTTGGTCCATCTAAAGAAAAGACTCTTCTCAGCATAACCAGTCTGACCATAAAGTATTTCACGTCATCAGACTGCTCAATATTCTACGATAGGAAAAAAATTGTGCAGACATTATTTTCTAGAGGATGATAGAGTCATCAACATAATACTCTGCCCACAGGTACTTTCTAGTATAAGAGGAGAAATGCTTTGGGCAAATTCAGCTTGGTTAACAAGGATCGAAAGGAACCCATATTAAGACGGGAAGCGTTAATATTTAACTAGGGTCTCCTGCAAAGAGCAACGGTAAATTGTCTTTGTTACACCACATCCCCAGTGAAACAAAGATACAAAAATTCAGGCCTTTTTATTTTTCATATTGAAACTCTTGTTTGCTTCTTGCCTGTGCCATCTTGCTTTTTGGTCACACTGCCAATAGCCAACACACAGGAGATGCTCAGAAATTGAGGCAACGTCAAGAAAAGACCATTTTTGAAATTATAACTAGTAAAACTCTGACTCCTCATGGACAGGAGTGGGCATGTAGAGAAGCAATCCCCTCCACACTCACATTCCTTTAAAAAAAAAACTTGTACTGCTTGGAGAAATGAGAGATTTTTTTGTTTTTGTTTTTTTCTAGTGGCTAGGGTTTCATATCAGAAAGATAAGCCTGGAATGTAAAGATGCAAAAAAAAGGAAAAGAAAAAAGGACTCTCTTGAACAGTGCTGGAAACTGGTAGCCTGAGGTGAGGAGTGACTTCAAAAAAAAGCAGCAGATTCTTTAACTGAAGGACTTCCCGGTCTCCATGGAACCTGGAAAGAGGAGGCCTGAATGCAAGAATTTTCTGGTAGTTGTCTTCTAGCACTCTTCACTCACTCCTGCTGGTCTCTACTCTTCTTCAAGCACCTCAAGCTCATTGCCACGTTCAGGCCTTTCCACTTGCTCTGGGCTCAGCCTGGTGAGTGTTTTCTACCTGGAGGTCGCCAGGCCTCCCATCTTCCCATCCTCTGTTTCGGGCGGCTGAAACATCGCTCCCTCACCGGGGCCTGCCCTCACCATCTTCTCTGAAATCGCTCCCTCTTTCCCTCTCTCCCCAGCTTAGCATTAACTGTCTTCATATCATTTCCTATTATCTGACATTATATGCTTATTTCGCTAATTTGTTTATTGTCTATTCTTCACTTTTTTTAATCTGTTTGTTTGGCTCACCGCTGATCCTCAGTGTCCAGGGCAGGGCCTATGTCTGGCACATAGTAAGTATTTCAGCACATTTTGTTAAATGAATGACTGCTTGTAGGAAGGAAAGGACATCATTTTTGACTATTCATCATAGTTCTAAAGATGAAAATACCATACTGTGAAGAAAGGCAACCCTTAGCCTATCACAGGTTTATGGGAAATTCACTTGAATTTATGCATTCATTCTTTTCATAGCCAGTGGAACCTACTGGGCTTGGAGCCCTGTGTTAGGTGCTGTTTGCAGAATTGAAGTGAATAAGGAAGTGTCCCTGCCCTCAAGGAGTGATAATCTAGAGGTGGAGTAGGGTCTCCCTATGTGGTCCCTGGGGGTGCCATTCACCTAGAAATGACATAAATCATGTCTTACTAAAGCTACGAAGTGCACAACCTGTCCCTGTCCAACTGTACAGAGCAACCCTGGGAGACAGCATTTCTCTTTCCTTCAGCTAATTGGTACTTCTTCACAACCCACATGCCACAGGACTTTCATTCATTCATTCAACAAACATTTATTGAGCATATGTTACATATGAGAAAAATGCCAGAAGCTAGGATACAAAAGTGATCCCAACATAGTCCCTGACTCTAGGTTGCTTCCAGTTTAGCGGAGAGACAGACAAATAAATAGGCCAATACAGCACACGTGGTAAGCATACAGGTGGGCTCCATCAGACCACATAGAATGGGCTTCCAACCCTGACTTGGGAGATGGGGCGAATCAAGCACGTTCTCCTGAAAGGGACGATGTCTAAGCAGAGTGTCGGCAGAGAAGCCGGGATACCGTTCACACCTCTGTTGTTGCAGCAGATTATGTCCTGGATTTATCAGCTTTGCTTCTCAGCTGTGGGTTGTGTAGGAGTTCTCCAGACGTGGAAGGGAAAGGGTCTGAGGGCAGAGAGCAGCGAAAGAGGCAAAAGAGCCCAGGGCAGGGGGTTCAGGCTGGTGGCGGGGGTGGTGGGGGGCGGGGAGCTGGGCACAGGCAGGGTCGAGGCCACACAGGCCTCTCTGAAGAGTGGACCATCAGGATGCGCGCAGTGGCGTTTGTGAGAGCCCCCTGGAGGGGCTGCGGGGATGGAAGTGCAGGGAAAGGCCAGGAAGCTGCGGCAGTGACCTGAGGGGACAGAGAGGCTAACGGGTCAGGATGTCCCTGTTTCTGGCTGGGCCCCTGTTGCGCGGTTGCCTCATTCACTGAGGTGAGACAAACAGGGAGAGCATGCTGGGGTCAGGTGGATAAGCAGGTGGGGAGCCCCACCCTCTGACTCTGGGCTGGGGGAGGTGCTCGTCCTGTGCCCCGTGTTTTGTTTGTCGTTGCCGTCTTCCCTCTTCCTCTCATTCCAGCGTACGCGCACCCTCACACACTGCTGTGCTGAGCCATGTGGGAGTCTGAGGCAAAAAGAAAAGGATCTTGCCTTTATTTAAAATTTTAATATTTTGATCATCATGGAGTTTTACATTAAATCTGATTTTTTAAAAAATACTGCATTGAAATATTATTTATCTTAATTACTGAGTGTGTTGGTTAATTTTATGTGTCCACTTGACTGGGCTATGGGCTGCCCAGATGTTTGGTCAAACATTATTCTGGATGTTTCTGTGAGAGTGTTTTTGGATGAGATCAACATTTGAATCAGCACCCTGAGTCAAGCAGATTGCCCCCCCTAATGTGGGGGGCCTCACCCGATCAGTTGAAGGAGGCCCGAATAGAACAGTGAGGCTGGCCCTCTCAGGAGTAAGAGGGAATACCTCCTGCCCGCCTGCCTCCAAGCTGGGACATTGACTTTTTCTGCCTTTGGACTTAAACGGAAACATCAGCTCTTCTTGGGTCTCAAGCCTTCTGGTCTTTGGACTGAAACTACACCATTGACTCTCCTGGGTCTCCCGCTTGCCAACTGCAGATCTTGGGACCTGTCAGCCTCCACAATAACATGAGCCAATTCCATATATATACACATATATCCAATTTGGTCTGTTTCTCTGGAGAACACTGACTAATACACTGAGTTTATTGCTATCTCCTTAAAATCTGGCCCTGAGGGAAGTGTCTGACCCTAGTCCCAGCCCTTCCCCCCTGCCCCCAACACAGGCCCTCACACCTGTAAGCTTCTTGAGGACATGGCCTGGACCTAATTAGTCCTGGACCTAATTATTTCACGTGATCCATAGCACTTACCCTAGTATCAGCACAATTTAAGTGCATAGCAACTGTTTGTTGAAGTAACCTAAACAACTAATTGTAGAACAAGACGCTCATTTATTCTTCAATGAGCCAGACATCATTCCAGGGTCAAGAATATGTAGTTTAATATGAGTTAATTCTTTGAGTTAATTCCCTCAGGGCCTCAGTGAAACTTGGCTGAACTGAGGAAGTATCACTGTGGAGCTCAGAAGGGAAGTAGGGTCTCCATGGTTAACGTTGGAGAAGAACGTTCCAGGTGGAGGAGACAGTTGGAATGAAGGGACGACGATGCTTGCCTTTCTGGGGAAATGGAGCACGTTTAGGAGGTTATAGTGGGTGATGTGGCTGCGACCCTGCGGGAGCAGTGGTCTTTTGGGCTCTGTCAGGGGCAGGAGGAGGGTGCGCTTGTGGGGAGTACGTGGGGTCAGGAAGCAGCTGTCCTGACTGGCTGGTGGGAGGAGAGCAGCTGTGGTTGTGGAGGGAGGTGGGGAAACAAGGATGGAGAGAAAACAGCCGATAATGGCCGTGGGAGGAGCAGGGTCGTGGAATGGGGGTAAATAGGAGGAAGTTAGTACTACGCCTTGTGCTTTAGGGTGAATAGGAGCAGGCAGATAAGAAGGCTATTTCTCCATTTTGATATGCTACACATAAATAAATCCCGCAATCGTTTATATAGTTAGGCAAACAATGTCGTAGCGACATTAATAGAATTCAGACCACAGGAAAAAAGTTCACCTACATTTTTACCACCTCAGCAAATGAGTCCTTTCATTTTTGTGTCTTTCCAGGCCTTGCAGGAAAGCCTATGAAATGTTTCCATCTCTGGGATCAGGACGTTGACAGGATTTGACGGTCAGGCAACCTTGGATTCAAAGCTTTGCTTGTAACCTCTGAGCTCAGTTGATGTTATGCAATGAACACCTGTAGTTCTCTTTGCAACGCCTTCAGCAAATGTGTGCTGGTTTTTACAACAGGACGCCAGTGAGACAGTTTGAAAGGAGACATAGAAGCCAGCTGTCTTAAAGTAAGCATGCGTAGCTGTGCGTAAGCACCTTGCCAGCTCTAAAGCACGATGCCAAAAATACGCACGTGGCAGAAATAAAGGAAAACAGAGCAGAGTATATTGAAGTGGTTGCAATCTTCCTTCTTGAAGAAGAAGGAAGGATTCTTGCTTATTTGGTCAGTCCAGAGTCTTCCTTTTTTTATTTCCCGGAATTGGGATAAAAGAACAAACAAAAGAAAAAGAAAAAGAAAAAGAAAAAGAAAAACCCCTCAATCTGCGTAATAAATAGAGCTACATAATAAAGAACTCAGGTGGAAAAAAGGCAGGGCACACCAGAAAATGGAATGCTTATCTTGCAAACAACATCACAACCACATTAAAATGACAGTGCTGGTAAATGTTTAATACAGTCTTTCTGAAAAAAACAAAACAAAATTCTGTGTGTGTGTATGTGTGCGTGTATGCACACATACATACATAAGTTTATTATAGATTTTATGGTGTAGCACACAATTTACAAATAATCATAAAATATGTAATACTCAATTATGAATTCCATATAAGCAACTGATTCTCACAGAATGCTTTCACTGAATGTTGCTGAACTCTTGTATCCATTGCAATTGATGAATATAGTTCTGACACAAATGTCGGTTCATATTTTCATCTATATTAACAAGTTAGACATAAGAAAGTGAAACAATGAATACCTTTAACTTTACACATTCATCAATGAGGTGAGTGAGGAACTTGTCCGCTGAATCAGATAGCGGGTTTTGAAAACTGAAAGAATATTTTCTTAATTTTTTGTGCTCTTCACAATGTAATGGCTATAGGCACAACACACTTTAACATTTAATCTACATTGTTAGCATGTTTTCCATGGTTTTCTCAAGTCTAGACAACCAGCAAAACAAAAATCAAGCCCTGATTTGTAGCGTTTGCTGATTTCCATGGTGTAGACCCTCTCACCACAGTTAAGTTCATTGTACCAACGCGATGTCGCCAAACAGGGAGTTGGGAAGAGACGCCGAGAAGCACCATTATGTAGTGTTTCCACAATACAGACACAAAGATGTAAAGAAACCTGGAGAGTATGGGTAGTAGTAAAATGTAAAATAATTAGAAAGTCATGGATTTTGAGTGCTTATTTAATAGCTTTATTGAGGTACAATTGATGTAAATTGCACATACCTGAAGTGTACAATTTGATGTTTTGACATATTTATACACCTGTGAAACCGTCGCCGCAGCCAAGATGATGAACATAGCCATCTCTTCCCAAAATTTCCTCGTGGCCCTTCCTAACCTCTCTCTTCCACCGCTTCTCACCACACCCCACCCCCACCCCAGACAACCACTGGCGTGCTTTTTATCACCATAGACTAGTTTTCCATAAATGGAATCATGTAATGTATACTCTTCTTTTGTCTGGCTTTAGCATAATGATTTTGAGATTCACTCATATTGTGGCATGTCCATTCCTTTTTTCCCCTGAGTAGTGCATATTTATCACCTTTGTTTATAATTTAGTTATAAGTTTATATAACTTAATTTTTACTAATGGATACATTTAACAACCAGCTGGCAAAATTCCTGAAAATTTAACAATTGACTCTTTCAAGCATGTGCAAGCCAACTCTAGGGTACCTCTGATGGGCTGTGCGTGTGTGTGTGTGTATGCATGTGTGTGTGTGTGTGTGTGCATATGTCTAGCTTTAGAGAGAAGGCTGAGAGACTTTGGGGCAGCTGCAGGGTTTGGGAATAATTGAAAATGAATGAAAGGGAAAAGGGAATTTCTAACAAGTTCTTCTCTGTTCCCTCTTTGGTGTTCTTTGAGACAAACTGCAGTCAAATGCCAATTAAAAATTACTTTTTGGTTGCTGGCTTCTTATTTTAATTAATGCGTGACTAGAGCACAATACAGCTGGGCTTTGGATGTTTTATATGAGGGACTTTTACTATGGAGGGTTCTAGGAGAGAAATCCGAAAGCCAGCGTCGACTTGCATGTGGTTCAGTTGTGGCAAACTGGGAGAGAGGGATTTGCAACTGATGACTGGGCCCCAGGATGCTGCAATTTTGCTGCTCAGATACCAGGAAGTCGTGGTTACCCCTTGACTTCTCCCAGAATGCATTGGATAGACAGATGTGTGGGAGAGGGCTTGCACTTCATTCTGTGTCACTGGCAGACTGTTATCAGGGACACATAATTTGGGATGTAATGCTCTCTGTGTACTGCTCTTAATATATCCTCTGATAGAGGCTGGGGAGGGGGTGGTGGGAGGTTGTTCCATGCTTCTTCTATGCTGTAACAAACTAAAAAAGCTAGTAAAGAGAGCTGTAATAATGATAATAACTATTTCTTGAGTGTTTACTATGCGCAAGGCACTCAGCGGAGGGCTTTCTGTGCGTTATCCAATGTAACAATCAGAACAGCCCTGAGGTGAGTAAGTGTTAGACCCAATCTACAGGGAAGTTACATCCTTTGCCAGGGTCACACCAGGAAGTGATGGAGACAGTATCTGAACCCAGGTCTGTCCGATTCCTCTGGTCTTAAGCCCTATACTGGGCAGCCTTCTGGTTTGCTGAGCTGTAGGAAACTCAGAGTATAAGGCCTTATAACAAGAATTACAGGCCTGGTCTCAAAGGGCTTTTTGGCAAGTCAGTGACAGCATGCCTGGCTGCCTGGAGATGACACTGAATCCCAATCATCTGGGGACTTTTAAACTTTTCTTAGAGACTTGAATTCTCTCCTAAAGGCAATGGGGGTACCATTGATAGATTTTGGCATGGAGTAATGGGCTCAAGTATGCATAAGAGAAAAATAGGTTGGAGAATGGTTTTGTGAGTTAGGAAATAGACTAAAGACACCTCAAAATACAAAGTAGAGGTAACTGTACTCTCTCCTTTTGACAAATCCTTCCAACTATTATTTTGCAGATCAGGTGCAGAGAAGGTAGTAACTTGCCCAAGGTCACACTGCTCCTAAGAAACTGTGTCAAGATTTAAGGCTATACTTTATGCAGTGAAAGAAGGCTACCTCATCCTCTGAAATCTAAGGAAGAAGAAATGATGACTGAAAATGGAAGAAGTGGGAGTAGATAAGGGGAGGAAGGCTGCTGTAACAAAAACATATACAACTCTAGGGGCTTAAGTAAATAAAAGTTTATTTATCTCCCAAGAAAGTCTAGAATGAGTTATCTTGGGCTGGTAGGGTGGCTCTGTTCTACAGGGACATTCAGAGACAGTGGTGCTTTCCGTATTATTGCCCTGTAATCTTGAGTATCCACATGGCTGATGCTGGCTCACTTCCACAATGGTGGTCTAACCTGGGGAAGGGAAAAAAGAGAGTGTCCAAGTCAATCTTTTAGGATAAGATGAAGAAGTTGCTTGCTTCATGTTTGCCCACATTCCATTGATCTGAAGTAAGTCACCTGGTCATGTGTAGCTGCAAGGGAGGCTGGGAAATGTAGTTTCTTCTTGGGTGATTATATGCCTAGCCAAAACTCAGGGATTCTACTACTAAAAGGAAGGGGAAAATGGATACTGCATGATCTTTATAAGTCTTTTATTAGAATTTCTTGTAGGGAAATCATGTGGCAAAACAACAAAGGCACTTATACAAAACAATTAATGAAAACAATATTCCACAACAATTTTAAAAATATATCCTGTGGCAAATAGTGTTTTTAATAGACTGAGAGAATATATTCAGTGTCCTTGGTTTTGTATTGTTCCTCTGTGTCTCTCCTGGTATCTTAGCATCTTTTGAAGATGGTGGCAATGTCAGAGTGGATATTTCCCATGGCCAGGGTCTTTTGCATATCGGTCAACAGTTGGTCATAATATCCTGCCTGTTCTCATGAGAGGTTGGCACCAACAGAGACTCATGCTAAAATGAAATGAGTGATGCTGGCTGATGGGGAGAGTGATGGCTGGAGAGAATGGGCCATGGGCAACTATTCTTCAGCTTTAGCTGTCGATTGCCATGACAGAGTTTGGCTAGGGTTGCTAGGAATTTGAAATTCTCAATAGAATACAGAAATCTGGGGTTTTAGCACATAATCTAAGTTTTAAATGTTGGCTCACATATTTTAATACCACTCTGTGGGCCAAAAAATATCCCTGGGAGCTGAGAACAGGTTCTGGTCTCTGACTTGATCTCTCAGAACCCTATTTACTCCTTTGTAAAGCGGGAGTGATGCCCACCTCAAAGGGCTGTAGGGAGGATGGAAGGAAAGTGTATGTCCGGGGTGGATAGTCATTATTATATCTGATTTTGTCATGATGAATCTGCCGTAGAACTAGGAAATTCTTAGGTCCCATTTTAGTGGATAGGAAGTTCAGGATGGACATTCCAAAGAAGATTCAGAGGGTAGAGTCTATAAGATTTACTGGAATTGATTCAGGTCTTTGAAGTTATCCTACTTTACATTTCCTAACATTTCCTTTTGGAGGTGTTTGAGTCTAGCTAGTCTGAGCAATGAGCTTGGATTAGAGAGAAGGATCATCAAATCCATCCTCTCCTCATCCCTTGTTAGTTGTGTGACTTTAGCTCAGTTACTTAACATCCTTAAGCCTTTGTTTTCTTATTTTAAAAAATAAGCATAATAATAACTTACCTCATAAAATAATTGTCAGGATTTAATGAGAAGATACATATAAAACCTGTAATGTATATTGCCGGGCATATAGTACGTATTCAATAAACATTAATTGTAATGCAATATTATGTCTTATCCAGGTGGAAGATACATAAAAGAGCTTCCCTTATTGTTTTGAGTTTTGATAAACTCATGTTTTCAGGCAAACCACATTATTTAGTCAACGTCTTGAGTTGTTTTTCTCTGGGAGAATTGTGATAATGTAATAGATAAAAATCTTAGGAAATATTTCTTAAATTATCCTTTGTGCAATTCCCTACAGTAAGAGGACAGTGTCAGGCGTAAAGTGTTCTAAAATAACAAAGTGACCTTTAAAGAAGAGCAATTTATTCATAAAGTAAATCACCAAAGAAAAGGGGGGAAGGTCTTCTTGTATATTACTAGCATCGCATCTCTGGGCTGGTGCATTGTTTTGCATCGCTTGTGTTGGTTTCATGCTATGTATGAAGAGTTTCCTATTTCAGAGCTGATGGATCCTTTTAAAAAGCAATATTGAAATTTACTACATTAAAAGATACACAATCTGTTCTATAGAAAGTCCCAAAAGCAAAAACAGTGGATGCAAAATGCAAATGTGAATGAGTATTTCCAAAAAAGTGTCAACTGGCAACTGAGCTCCTTTGCAAAATTAGACAAATTTCCACAGGATGGTTAAACCTATTGATCATCCTTATCTTTAATACTATTACTAGTAGTAGTAACAATAAACATCATTACTGATGTTTATTGGCCTTTCCTATGGACCATCCATTGGGTAAACTGCATTACATGTTTTATCCCACTGAATTCTCTCAACAACTCTTATGAGTTAGGGGCTATTATTATTCCCATTTTTCAGATGAGGAAATTGATGCTTAGGATAGGAATGTTAACTAACTTGCCCAATTTCATTAGTTTGTGAGTGGCATAGCTTGGCTTCTAAGCCAGCACTGCGTGGCTCCAGTGCTCGTGATTCTGAGGGAATGGAAATTTTGATGAGTGAGATGGAAAGAGAGAAAGAAAGATCTTTTGGAGCTTTAAATTCTTCCCCAGAGAGTATGTCTGAACTGAGTGCCTCATATTGGGACTTTCCACAGACAAAGGAATTGGGCTGCTGGGGCTGAGGCAGAGGGAGAAGGGAAGCTGGAAGGTTTGAGAGGGGAGGCAAACAAGCAGTTGAAGACTTTGAAGACCAACTTTGAATGCTTTGCAGTTTTGCTAGCAGTGTTGACATCTCGTGCTCATTCTTTGATATCCTGACCTATTTGTTCTGACTGAGAATGACTTTTATTATCTACATTGGTGATCACCATTCTGGAATTCCTGGAAAGTCCTGCTCTCAAATACTCTGTTCCCTTGTCCTCATAAATACATTCACACTTGTCAAAGTAAGTTTGGGAATCAGGGTCTTTCAATCATGAGCACAGGTTCCAGAGCCCTTCAGTTCCAGTTCACTGACTCCAGCTGGCAAGGTGGATCCTCTCTCTTAGTGTAGTCAGCCTCTGTCAGAAGACCAGAACATCCTAGTGACAGCTCTGACAATCTCCCTCTCTCCTGTGTGGAGAGGGAATGTTGTTTAGGACTCTGTATTGTTGGTTGTTTTATTTGCAGTGTCACCATCCTTATTCGTGTTGTCTAATTAAATGGTCTAAATCCTTTCGTGATAATAATTTAATATACATCCTTACTTTGATCACCTTTAAACACAATCAGTGGTTTGGATGAATTCATCTATAATTACAGAATATTGTCCTTGACTATGATAAGGGGAATTTCTGGCAAAGAAACTGCTTTAATTATGAAGCTGTTGACCTTGAATTGGGTAAGATACAAACTAGATATACACTCATAGAAATAAGAGACAGAAATATTTTTCTGTATAATAGGCTGGGGAAAAAACCCCCAAAGACTTTTGTTGTAGTAAAAGCAAGATACTATACTCGTTTTTTCATGCTGGTTTTGGAGCCCACCAGCCATGTCTTGTTAGGTAGTGCCATGGAAAGAACAGTGGATACCGGGACACCTGGGCTGTAGTTTTGGCTTTGTCACTGTGTCATCCAGAGTTTCTTTGGGTTGTAAGCTGTAGAAAGGGCAAGTCAAAATCACTTACGCATAAAAGGAGTTTATTGCTTAAGTAACCTAGGGGTTCAGGGGTGCATCTGGCTTTAAGGACCTCAGAACTGTAAATTATGTCATCAATACTTCATTTCTTTCATCTCTCAACTCTACCTTCTGCTTGTCTGCTTCGTTCTCAGATTCCAAATGGCAGCTTACAGCAGCTCTGTTCTCATTGCCTCCCAGGCTCTAGACTAGCATTAAAGAGCAAGAATCTCTTCCAGTAGTCCTAAATTTCCCTCTGGTTCAATGAGATTAGGTCCATGTCACCCCTGAACCACAGTGGTGCTTTGATCGGCCACGTCTGGATGGAGATTCATTCAGGTTCCAGAAGAGTGGGGAGGGTAGATCTCCAGATATAAGTTGGGGCTGTTATCAAGAGAAGGGGGAATTTACATGAGGGAGTGTCAAGGCCACTCAGCAATGTGTGATCTTGGGAGGATAACTAAATCTCTGTGAAAAGTAGAGTTAATAATGCCTACTAAGAAAATGGATTAAAAATACTTTGTGGACTACGTATACCAATAGTAGTGCTTTGTAAACTAATGGTGCTATATAATTCTGTATTATTAATTTTACAAGTTTCTCTGGGATCTATGCCTAGGAGTGAAATTGATGAGTTATACACACACTATGTACATCTTCAACCTTACCAGGTAATGCCAAATTATTTTATACCATTAGCCATGAATGAGAGTTCCTGTTATACATTGTCTCATGCACTCCGTATTGTACTTTTTGGTTATTTTCCAATCCAGCGGGATGAAGTGGTATCTCATTGTTATAATTTGCGGTTTCCTGTTAACTAACAAAGAGCATCCTTTTTATATTTGTTGACCATGTTGTATTTGTCGGTTACATTTAAAGATGTACTTGTTCATATTTTTTGCCCATTTAACTATTCTGCTGTTTTTATTTTCTCAACCATTCATAGAATTCTTTGCATTTTCAGGATACTAAAACTTTGTTGGTTACCTTATGACAGATACTTATTCCCAGTTTGTGACTTGCCTTTTCACTTTTATATGGTGTCATTTGATGAATATAAGCTCAAAATTTTAACAGTCCCATTTACCAATCAATCTCATCCTATAAAGTTTGTACTTTTTGTTCTTTGTTTACTAAATCTTTCTGCCCTCTAACCCCTTAGGTCATAAAGATGTTCTCTTCTAAAAGTTTGAGTGTTTTGCCTTTCATATTTGAATTCTTAATACATTGGCAATTTATTGTGTATGCTGAAAGATAAGTATTCAATCACAAATTTTCTATATCGATGACCAATCATCCCAGCACCATTTATTTAATGACTGTCTTTCTCTACTGTGGTAAAGTGCCACTTCCGTTTCACATCAAGTGTCTTTGTAGGCATGGGTCTGTTTTAGGCTATCTGCTCTATTCTTTTTGCCTATTTGTCCATCCCTGTATCAGTAAATGTGTTTTCCTAAAAACATAGGACTTACACATTGCTTGTGATGGGATGTGAGTAGAGTGTGGCATACAGAATTGGTGGCACCCATGAAGGAAGGCTCTTCCCATGTTTCATCCTATACCCCAACAGTGCTACACTGATCTGGTTTCAAGAAGTTTTATTAAGTTCTACCTAATAGATATCATTGCTAATCCTTATTCTTGTCCACCTATTTGTAACAATAGCATTGTTTGTGGTTTTTATCATATGGTATTTGAATTAAATAAAATTAAATTTAAAAATCTGAGAGATTTGGGAAAGATTATGTATATTTTTTGACTTGCAGAAAACCTAGAGAGTGAGGAATACTTTTGGAGAGGGAACCTGAAAAGATAGTTTCACAGTGGAGGGTTCAGTGACCAGCATACCTGGGTGGGAAGGAGAATGAGAAAAGGGGCTGCTTATAAGCTGGGATTTCAGGGCATAATCAGACCACTGAAAAAAGTTCAGAAGGAAAAGGATCCTTACGGCTTTTTAGGCCCATGGCACAGTATTAATCCTCAATGAAATATAATGGGAATAAAATAAAGGCAGATAAAAGTTAGCCAGACAGAATATAGATAAAAAATATGT